TAAAAATATATATTTATGTGATTTGAGTTTATTTTATACAAATTAGTTAATGATAAAATTTTATACACATAAATAAAAAAATGCAAGCAAATCGGATACAATAAACAGGACACTCAGAAGATCCAGTATTCAGACATGCCCAAGCATGATAACTGAAGTCGATGAAAATTATGGTTATAATAGTGTTCCCTAATGCTACTGTAGGTTTACACTATGTTCCCGGTGGCCACGGCAGCCCTGTTTGCCCGAAACGTTATGCGCCGTGGGATTTTTTGGCAATTTTTTCCACGTTTCAAGTTTCCATCTTGGCTTTTTTGTTGGCATAGCTTGGATTCTTTTTGTTTTATTCGTGGCATTCTTCCATTTTATGCTTCCCGTCCCACTACGGACCGCCTCCAAGTTTTGTTATGGCTTATTACGGACTGTCACGTTATGTTGCGATCACCCCGTTTTACTGCGGCTTACTAAGTTTCTCATTCACACCGTGACTGCAGTGGCAAATTTTTTGACAGTTTAAAAATTTGCACCGGCATCCACGGCAATCATGGCCGTCACGTTTGCCCATTCCGTCCCCCCGCATTGTCTAGCATTGTCTCAAATGCATCCTGTTTTGTTCACGGTGGCCTGAAACATGGCTGCCGTGCCCACCGGGAACATAGTGTAAACCTAGCATGAGCAGCTTACCGAAAGAGTTGAAATTAAAAAGTTAGTCCGGGCAAAGGCATGCCTGAAAAGCAAGTCTTCTGAGTGTCTTATGTTGATCTTAACAAATTTGTGGCGATCAAAGTCGCCTAGACAGTACAAACATTTGAATGCAAATAAAATCAAAATATATTCAAATCTAGCCTTCATAGAGATTAAATTAAAATGAGCCAGTCTGTCATTGTTATGTAACATACTACAGAACTCTGACTGTACCACTACTACTACTCGAACCACTGACCTTCCGCTTAAAAGCCCAAAGCCTTGCACGCTGTGCCACATGCTTCTATAACATTATTATTTGATATTTCACTTACTGTACATTGATTTTCCAAAAATATTCCATATATTATTCTATATGAATGTAGGGTAATGAAAACAGAAGGATACAAATTATTATATTTAATGACCTTTCGATTGAGTTGCTTCAATCTTCTTCAGGAGAATAATATCAAATAACCATTATTATTATAATACCTGTTCTACTGTGGCTCTGTCTGCTTTTTCTTTTACCCTCACTCTGTAAGAAATCATTAAAATTCCTCTTAGTAACTAAAAAATATTTAATGATTAACAATCGTTTCCACTATGTTCAGATCGGACTTTTTTCTGTCAAACCAATCACATGCTTAGTCAAAAAAATATATATAGATATAAACAAATTTGGTTTCTTGTTTTTACCTGTCTGCTTCTTGTTTCTTGCTGTTACGGAGGAGCTGATTGGATGCAGCACCAGGCAACGAAGGACCAGCATAGTGTTCAACTTTGATCTTGTTTACAAACTTCTGAAAGTGCTTCTCACTTGGCTAGAAAAAAATATATAAAAGCTGAGCCAATTAATAACCTATGCAATCTATATTCAAAAGAAATGTTTATTACAGAAGAAAAATATATTTCTGTGCTTATCCATTTTTCATTTTAAATTTAATATTACAACAGTGGTTTTTAATGATGGCAGAATCTGAAAATCAAATATATTACTAAGATCTTGCTTTTATTAAAAACCAAAATGACAGAATTATCACCATCATAAATATTAATACAATTATTATATATTTTATTAGTTTACCAACTACTATTAAAAAAAAAAAAAACTATTTTTAAAGTCTGCATAGAAAGACACATTGAAGAACAAACAATTATTTGAATGATGGAAATAAGTTATTTATATTTTAAATTTTTTCTTGATTTACCATAGGAACTAATATCTTTTCTGTTGTTCATAATATCTATCTGTTCTTTGTTTTTGTTTTGTATTTAAGAAATGTTTTGAGATTTCAATTCCTAAATAAAATGAAATTATAAATCCAAACATTATAATTCATTTATAGATTGAATTACATAGTCTGTATTTCCTGATAACACATGACTTCACTAAACATATTATTATTTTTACATTACCTGGTAAGCTTTTGTTTTTGTTGTTTGCTTATTTGGCTGATTGGCATTTGGCTGCAATGAAAACAAGGAATTAAAACAAATTTGTAACTTTGCAAAGTTACAGAGTACTTTCAAAGCAAGTTTTGTATTTGACTATTTTCTGGTTTTGGTTATTAACTGGAAGATAAAGTACCATACCTGTTCTGTGTTGGAACGAAGGGCATTGTACTTCTTAGTAAAATCTGGAAAAATAAA